TTCATCATGAAGTACAGCCCTTATCCATTTAGTCAACTAATATCTAGACTATGCTGAACATTAAATAAACCCCGAGGAGATTAGAACATCGGGCATGATTTTACACTCAAGAAACTTATGAACTTGTGGAGAATCATCCGTCCTAGGCATTGGTTACACAGTGAAGCAAAGTGCTACAGTGCTCCAATAGGAATAGCTACAAGGGACAAGAGGTGCTTCAGAAGTTTGGTATGCTGGATGCAGTACGTGTGTGGACAGGAGAGATTCAAGGTTGAATGTGTGCAATAGTGTGTGTAACAGGATGCAGTGATATACACAGATAGAGCCAGATGAGCAACAGCAGTCTTATCCATCCAGCCAGAGAGTGTTAATAATTGTAAGGAGCCCTTTCCTAAATTTGAACTATGCAATATTCCCATGTTTTGTTCAACTACCTCAATCCATATACAGGGTCCACATGAGCACGTTGAAGTGTTCCGGAATCCCCATTCTCCTCAACACTATCTATCCATAATTTATTAATCATAATAAATCCACACAATTGAATGCATTTACATAGTGAATGAAACACAAGTAAATATCTTCCTGGTATTTTCAGCTTTCTGCCAAGATCCAGCTGATGTCAGCAATGGTATCCCTTGTTCCATGTCCTCTTCTCAATCCGGCCTGAACCTCTGGCAGCTCCGCATCAATGTACTGCTGCAGCCGTTGTTGGATGATCTTTATCACAATTTTCCTTGCATGGGATATCAATGATATTGTTCTAGAATTTGAACATTCTGCTGGGTCACCTTTCTTTGGAATCAGTACAAATATGAATCTCTTCCAGTCATTTGGCTAAGTAGCTGTCTTTCAAATTTCCTGGCATAGACAAAGTGAGTGCTTCATCAGCTTGTGGAAACATTTCAACTGGCATCCCAGCAATTCCTGGAGCCTTGCTTTGGTGAATGCTTTCAGTGCTGCTTGAACTTCTTCCTTTGGTATCATTGCCTCTTGCTTATATGCTACTTCCTGAAATGGTTGAATATCGATAATTCCTTTTGGT